ATCAGTTGCAGGTAAAGGCTTCATGAGCAAATACACGCAAGAGACCGTGATTAGCTGCAGGAACTGTCAGCCTCCTGTTGCTCTCAGGTCCCGTTCATGCCTGAATCACACAGGAACACAGTCCACTTTTCTCTGCCTTTCCTGTGTGGTGCAATTTTTTCAGCACCACACAGTTCCCCACAGTGTCACAATGCCCACCACAGTCCCGCTATAAGTCTCTGATTGCCGCTATTACTAGTAAAAATAAAAATGACTTTCACGTAAACCAATTTACATGTATTGGGATTTTTTTTAGCCAAGACGTAGCAGAATACATTTTGGCCTAAATTTATGATGACATGTTATTTTATTTACATTTTTTTACTGGACATGTTTAATAGCAAAAAGTAAAAATATTTTTTTTCTCAAAAGTGTCACTTTTTTTCTATAGCGCAAAAAATAACGCACAGGTGATCAAATACCACCAAAAAAGCTTTATTCGTGGGAAAAAAAGGATGCAAATTTAATTTGGGTGAAGCGTTGCATGACTGCGCAATTGTCAGTCAAAGTGACGCAGTGCTGTAATGCAGAAAATGGCCTGGTCAGGAAGGGGGGTGAATTCTCAGGAGGGAAAGTGGTTAATAAGGTGCATGAACCTTTTTTTTTGTGCAAAGCACAGGCACAACAGCCTATTCAAATGAATGGGCTGCTATGCCTATGCAAACGTGGGCCGCACGGCCCACACAAGTGTGAACCAGGGCTAAGAGCTCATGGACCCATTCACAAGTGTTCACCTTTTTGACCATGTTTCATATTACCACTGTATTTATTATTATTATACAGTATATAGCGCCAAAGGGTTTGCTCAGTGCTGTACAATAGCAAGTGGGACAGAACATGAGACAAGACAGTAACAATACAATACACGAGGGGTTCGAGGGCCCTGCTCTTTCGAGCTTACAATCTAGGAGGGAGGGAGTTTAACAGGAAAATGTTGACACTTTCCCAACCCCCGCACCCTTAACGTGCCCCACTCCATATCTACCTGGATTGCCGGGTGTTCTCCCCTGCAGCGCCCTGGGGATATTTGATTTTTATCATGGCTGTGCATGGCTCAGCCCATACAACTGTATCATTCATTTACAGGGACCGGTTTATGGAAGGACTACAAGTCCAGAGCAGAGAGACTCAGACTGTGCCAACACAAGTGCAGTGACGTCATCACATTGGTAGTTTACTGTTTACTTCCTCCAGCCCTATAACAGGTCTGTACCTCCTGAGGGGCTGGGGATAAACAATGCAGGGCATGTTCAGATCCTATTCCAATGCCACCCGAGCAAGCTCACCAAGAAGTGGTCACTGTGCTGGTCAAATCGTAACTGACTCTGCACCCGTAAGGGGTGTGAATACATGTGGCTTAGGGGAATGCCTTGGAATGGCCTTATGCAGGCCATACGTGGGTTGAATTCCGAAATAATTTTCTTTAGAAAATTGTAAATTTTGTGCGTTTTGTAATCCGATGATGCCACCGTTGATTTCGAAATTCAATCAACCAAGCCTTCAATTTCACATGTTGCTACAGAAAATAATTTTCATGGCCAAGAATTTTCTTTTTTTTCCAGGTCACAGCCCAGGCGCCTTTTTTTTTTTTTTTCAATTACATTTCTCGCACGATTCTCCCATCAGTAATTAGAAATTAGTTTGATTTTCATAGAATTTCCAACATGCCCGATCACTCAAATTCGAAAATCGGCGCTGCTGTGGCCCACTAATGGTGTGAAATCCGAACGAAAATTCTTTCGAAAAATTCGACCCTTGTATGGCCGGATTTACTAAACAAGTTGAAATCCCAAATATACAACTAGAAATTGAGTTGAAAAATAAATCCGAGTGGATCCCCAAATCCACAAAATTATTGGTGTTTGGTTAACTAAGATCTACGCACCAATAAAGCTTACTATTGAGGGAAGGTGTGTTGAACATTGACTCAAATATTGTTTATTCTTCCTGTGTAGCGTGAGCCAGCCCAGGACCTACTACAGTCCTTTGTACAGCACTGGAAAGGAGTGACTCAGTACTACCTAGAGACAACTGGTAAGTAACCCAACACTTCCATCGGGTCACTTTGACCAATGACCTACTCATTGTTTGCAAGCATTTATATTGATCATTTATTATCTGGAAAATCTTTATTTTTTAATTTGGACAGCTCCTGGTTTATTCACTGTCCTCCATCAGATTTAGCTGATTAAGGTTACGTTGACACTAGCGGCTGAGGGGCGGTTAAACCCCGTGGTTGTTGTTTTAAATACCATCCCCCCAACCGTTCCCCTTTAGCTGCAGAGGCAGTGGCCACGGGTGTATACAGTATCTCACAGAAGTGAGTACACCCCTCACATTTTTGTAAATATTTTATTCTTTTCATGTGACAACACTGAAGAAATGACACTTTGCTACAATGTAAAGTAGTAACTGCATAGCTTGTATAACAGTGTAAATTTGCTGTCCCCTCAAACTCAACACAGCCATTAATGTCTAAACTGCTGGCAACAAAAGTGAGTACACCCCTAAGTGAAAATGTCCAAATTGGGCCCAAAGTGTCAATATTTTGTGCAGCCACCATTATTTTCCAACACTGCCTTAACCCTCTTGGGCATGGAGTTACCCAGAGCTTCACAGGTTGCCACTGGAGTCCTCTAAAACTCCTCCATGATGACATCACAGAGCTGGTGGATGTTAGAGACCTTGTGCTCCTCCACCTTCCATTTGAGGATGCCCCACAGATGCTCAATAGGGCTTAGGTCTGGAGACATGCTTGGCCAGTCCATCACCTTTACTCTCAGCTTCTTTAGCAAGGCAGTGGTCGTCTTGGATGTGTGTTTGGGGTCGTTATGTTGGAACACTGCCCTGCGGCCCAGTCTCCGAAGGGAGGGGATCTGCTTCAGTATGTCACAGTACATGTTGGCATTCATTGTTCCCTCAATGAACTGTAGCTCCTCAGTGCCGGCAGCACTCATGCAGCCCCAGACCATGACACTCCCACCACCATGCTTGACTGTCGGCAAGACACACTTGTCTTTGTACTCCTCACCTGGTTGCCGCCACACACGCTTGACACCATCTGAACCAAATAGGTTTATCTTGGTCTCATCAGACCACAGGACATGATTCCAGTAATTCATGTCCTTAGTCTGCATGTCTTCAGCAAATTGTTTGCGGGCTTTCTTTTGCATCATCTTTAGAAGAGGCTTCCTTCTGGGACGACAGCCATGCAGACCAATTTGATGCAGTGTGCTGCATATGGTCTGAGCACTGACAGGCTGACTCCCCACCCCTTCAACCTCTGCATCAATGCTGGCAGCACTCATATGTCTATTTCCCAAAGACAACTTCTGGATAGGAAGCTGAGCACATGCCCTCTACTTCTTTGGTCGACCATGGCGAGGCGTGTTCTGAGTGGAGCCTGTCCTGTTAAACTGCTGTATGGTCTTGGCCACCATGCTGCAGCTCAGTTTCAGGGTCTTGGCACTCTTCTTATAGCCTAGGCCATCTTTATGTAGAGCAACAATTATTTTTTTCAGATCTTCAGAGAGTTCTTTGCCATGAGGTGCCATGCTGAACTTCCAGTGACCAGTATGAGAGAGTGATAACACCAAATTTAACACACCTGCTCCCCATTTACACCTGAGACCTTGTAATACTAAGGAGTCACATGACACCGGGGAGGGAAAATGGCTAATTGGGCCAAATTTGGACATTTTCACTTAGGGTTGTACTCACTTTTGTTGCCAGCGGTTTAGACATTAATGTCTGTGTGTTGAGTTATTTTGAGGGGACAGCAAATTTTCACTGTTATACAAGCTGTACACTCACTACTTTACATTGTAGCAAAGTGTCATTTCTTCAGTGTTCTCACATGAAAAGACATAATAAAATATTTACAAAAATGTGAGGGTGGACTCACTTCTGTGAGATACTGAACATCCCACGGCCACAAGGTTTTATTTAGTGGCCATGACAGGAAATATACCCCCTTTTGCTTTTGGCAAGTGCAGAGCCTGACCTATTCAAATGAATGGGTCACTCTGCAAGCACCCCGCAACCACATGGAATATTTTGTGGTAATATCATGCGACATAAAAAATTGCAACTTCCACTATTTTATTCTCTAGGGTCTCTGATTTCAGAAAATATATCATGTTTGGGAGTTTTGTGTAATCTTCAGGCCTAAAATAATTTATTTTTATCTTGTGCAAAACACCGCAAAAACAGCTCTGGCAGCAAAATGGGATAAAGGATAAGCCTGACACTCCCCTTTCCTAACAAGCACCCAATCAGTGCTCACTACACTGCATGGTATCTCTCTGCTCCCTGCTAGTCCCCGGGGTTGGTGCTGGAGACAGGCAGGAGAGGGGAGTAGAAGATATACAGTGCAATGTTACAAATATTAAACGTTTAAGTCACCATAAAACCCCTTTTTGTTTTTAAAACATTCCTAATATCACCTCCCCCATAAAAAAGGTTTTGGTTAAAAAATGTTTTTTTTTTTATCTGGACAAGTAGATGGCCATGAGGGACAAGTAGATTGGGACAATGATTTAGTCCCTTGGACAAGTAGTTTTTTTCTAAAATTTCCACACCTCTGCATGTACAGATGAAATGATGAAACAAGTAGACAGGATTTTGCACTTCACATGATTGGATAAATACAGTCAATATTCACACAATTTAACCACTTGCCTACCAGGCACTTATACCCCCTTATTTACCAGGCCAATTTTCAGCTTTCAGCGCTGCCGCACTTTGATTGACAATTGCGCGGTCATGCAATATTGTACCCATATGAAATTTTGATCATTTTTTTCTCACAAATAGAGCTTTCTTTTGGTGGTATTTAATCGCCACTGGGCGCTTTACTTTTTGCGCTATAAATAAAAAAAAAGTGCAAAAAATTTGAAAAAAAAAAAAAAAGTTTCTTTGTTTCTATTATAAAATTTTTCAAACAGGTATTTTTTCTCCTTCACTGATGTGCGTTGATGAGGCGGCACTGATAGGCGGCACTGATGGGCACTGATAGGCGGCACTGATGGGCACTGATAGGCAGCACTAAAGGGGCACTGATAGGCGGCAGTACTAATGAGGTGGCACGGATAGGCGGCACTAATATGCAGCACTGATAGGTGACACTGATGATGGGTACTGATAGACGGCACTGACTGGCATCACTGCCGGGCACTGACTGGCGGCACTGACTGGCACAACCCCTGGGCACTGGTGGGCGGCACTGGTGGGCAGCACTGGTGGGTGGGCACAGGTGGGTGGCACTGGTGGGCACAGGTGGGTGGGCACAGGTGGGTGGCACTGCTGGGCACAGGTAGGTGGCACTTCTGGGCACAGGTGTGTGACACTGCAGAGTGGCACAGGTGGGTGCACTGCTGGGCACAGGTGGGTGCACTGCTGGGCACAGGTGGGTGATCTGCTGGGCACAGGTGGGTGCACTGCTGGGCACAGGTGGGTGATCTCCTGGGCACAGGTGGGCGGAACTAGTGGGCGCACTGCTGGGCACAGGTGGGCGGAACTTGCTGGTGGCACTGCTGGGCACCGATCATCAGGGCACTGATCATCAGTGCCCTGATGATCGGTGCCGATCCCCGCTCTGACAACTGCCGGTTCTCGGCAGTACTTTCCTCACGATCTGACAGTGCAGCCGAGAACCGGCACTTGCATTTCCCTCTGATCAGCGTGTCATTGGACACCGCTGATCACGTGGTAAAAGGCCGCTGTGATTGGCCTTTTACCACATCATGTGATCAGCTGTGTCCGTAGGGCACAGCGATCACGGAGATCGCCGGGTGCGTGCCTTCTGGGGCGCGCAGGAGAGCGCGTTCTGGGAGGATGTCATATGACGTCCACTCAGAACTGGCCGGCCGCAGTGTAGCCGTCATTCGGCTATCTGCAGTCGGCAACTAGTTAATTTAGCAATTCAGCTTGTTCTCCCAGCACCTGAGTGTGCATGACAACATCAAATAACAGAGCCCAATAGTTAGTGACAGTTTCTTGCTCTGCACATACCTTTAGTCTCAGATGCTCCTTCTGAATTCTAAGCTGTTGTGATTGGGCAAAGCTCCCATACTTCTGGTAGCATCAACACCTAATAGCACCTTCTACTTCATGCACATTTATATGTCAGTAAGGCAGCTCATCTTTATGTGTCGTGTATCTTTATTTGTAAGCAGCTTTTTCACATAGTCACTTCAGGAGGTATGTAATTCTATGATTTGATACAGTTACAGAGACTAGGTGCTAATGATCAGGCCACGTTCAGACCAATGCAATGTGCAGTTCTACTTTAAACATACCAGTGTCCACTAAACATCACCAATTTTCTTTTATATTGTACTTTGTGTTTACTGTTGCTTTTGTTTTTTCCACAGATGAATCCTGCCAAGCACGTAATACAGACATCCCATGGAGGCTCCGCCAGCTCCTGGACATCCTTGTCTACGAGGAGGGAGAAGCATTGGCCAGAGAAGGCTCAGAGGGTGGAGAAAAAAGTGGACCTGCTGACAATACTGGACCCTGCATGGAGTATCTTTTACAGCACAAGATATTGGAGACACTTTGCACCCTGGCAAAAGCAGAGGTACTCACTATACAATGTTGTCCAAATAAGGGCTCATGTACACTGCAGCTGATAAACCCATGTTTATTTTTTTCAGCAGCCCCTGAACTCTCCCCATTGTTTTCCTATGTGTCCATGTACACTATGTCATTTACAGGCAGTTGAGTTTACAGTAGTTTTTTTGAACGCTGAAAACTTGCGTTCAGAAGTAGATTTTATCAGCGGTTCAAACGCTTGTAAACGTGGCTAACCGTGTTTATAAGCGTTTGCGGTTGAATTTTTTTTTAACTCTTCCATTTCCAGATGCTGTCCAGAGCCTTTTTTCATCATGAAAAAGGCAAAAATTTTCCCGGTACTCAAATGGACCTGGTACACCATACTTTGAGGTTTCACATGAAAGAAAATATGTTAGACACTGCTGCAATAATTTCTGCACAGAAATGAGCTGGAACACATCCAAACACCACAAAAAAAAAGCTAATCTTTAACAAATACTGCTCTCTCTGCTTCTACTCTCTCTATTTCTCTCAAAATGTCTGAAATAGTTAATTTTTTACTGTTTTTCAGTGCATTCTGAGCATTTTGGAAGGTCCTCTGAGGTTATCTTTAAAAAAACGCTTCTAAATGCAAACGCTCATAAACGTGCATAAACGCAGTATGCAAATGCGGCTAAACAGACGTTTTTTTAAGCTACGTTTTCCAACAGTCAGTTTCCATCCTTCAGAAGTGCTAAATGTAAATGGAGCCTTAAATTGCTAAACACATGACATGTGGTCATATAGGGTTTCTTCCAAATTTAATGCTGTATGCTGTTTTACAGCAATGATGTCCATTACCATTAAAGTGAATCGCAATTTGATTCATGCAAGAATCTGGATATTCTGTACTAGTATTAAAATCAACCTCTGGGATGGAGAAAAATACCCTTGGAAGTGTGCCCCCCTGCACCATAAAAGTTAAATGCATGTTAACTCTTGGAGGTAGAGAAAGGGTGTTACTATTTGCTGCATTTCACGCTGTGGCGCTGTCCTCTTCTTTGATGCTCCAGGATGTGGGCAATGCAGGTCTGTTAGGCTGGCCATACACTATACAATTTTCTGTCCAATTTCTGCCCAATTTCCTTTAGATTTACCTTCAACTATGTAGTGTAAGAGCCTGCCTAATTGGATGCAATTGAAAGTGTTGTTTAGTTTTGACCTCCTATTTTATGGTTTTTGGTAAATCTAAAACCAAAAATCTCAAGAAAATTGTATAATGTATAGTCCAATTGGTTCCCTTTTAGCATCTGTAAAAATGTATCCACATGATTATGAGTGATGTCCTATGATGTATGTATGTGTTTTTTTACACACACACGCCATTTTATTAGGTACCCCTGTTCAATTGATTGGTAACACAAATTGCTGATCAGCCAATCACATGGCAGCAATGACTCCAATGCATTTAGGCATGTAGACGTGCTGAAGACAACTTGCTGACGTTCAAACCTAGCATCAGAATAGGGAAAACAGGTAATTTAAGTCACTTTGAATGTGGCATGATTGTTGGTACCAGAAGGACTGCTCTGGGTATTTAAAAAATTGCTGATCTACTGGGATTTTCCCGCACAACCATCTCTGAGGTTTACAGAGTATGGTCCGAAAAAGATAAAATATCCAGTGAGTTGCAGTTGTGTGGACGAAAATGTCTTGTTGATGTTAGAGGAAAATCGGCAGACTAGTTGCTGCGACATTCAGATGGTAGGGTCAGAATTTGGCATAAACAACATGAAAGCATGGATCCATCCTGCCTTGTATCAATGATTCAACCTGCTGGTGGTGGTGTAATGGTGTGTCGGATATTTTCTTGGCACTAGCAAGGGGGGGGGGGGGGGGTGTGTGTGTGTGTGTGTGTGTGTGTGTATACACGCACACTATATTGCCAAAATTATTGGGCCGCCTGCCTTTACACGTACATGAACTTTAATGGCACCCAGTCTTAGTCCGTAGGGTTCAATACTGAGTTGGCCCACCCTTTGCAGCTATAACAGCTTTAACTCTTCTGGGAAGGCTGTCCACAAGGTTTAGGAGTGTGTCTATGGAAATGTTTGACCATTCTTCCAGAAGAGCATTTGTGAGGTCAGGCATTGATGACAGACGAGAAGGCCTGATTTGCAGTCTCCACTGCTAATTCATCCCAACTGATATCGCCCGATGCCCGGGACATGTAGTTCCGGATGCTGGGCAGGTGGTATTTTTATTTTTTTATTTTTTTTTACCTTTTAGCCCTGCTGTGGGCAAGCAGGGAAAGAATGTAATGCAGTGCGATATGCACTAAAGGGGCATTCATAAGTGTCGCCTTTAGAAAATATAGGACACTGACACTTCAGTCGCCATTTCACGAGCGAGCACAAATTTATGGTTTGACATGTTGGATATCTATTTACTCAGTGCAACCTCATCTTCTATATTATAGAAAAAAATAGGGTAATTTTATTGCTTTTTTGTGCCCTAAAATTAATGTACTTGGTTTTTTACTGAAATTTTGCAGTAATATCATTTGACATAAAAAATTGGAACTACCACTATTTTATTCTAGAGTCTCTGCTTTCAGGAAATATATAATGTTTGGGGGGTTTATGTAATCTTCAGGCCTAAAATTATTTTTTAAACTTATGCAAAAAATGCAAAAACGGCTCAGGCAAAGGGATAAAGGAAAAGCCGGACACTCCCCTTTCCTGACAAGCACCCAATTGGTGCTCATGACACTGCAAGGTCTCTCCCCTCCCTGCTAGTCCCCGTGTGCTGTGCTGGAGACAGGCAGGGAGGGGAGGAGGAAATGAACAGCAATGTTAAAATTGTTACATGTTTAAGTCACCATAAAGCCCCTTTTGTTTTTAAAAGCCCCAGACATTCCTAAAATCGCCTCCGATTTTAAATACGGTTTTGGTAAAAATGTATTTTTTTTTTAAATCTGGACAAGTAGATTGGGGCACCAATTTAGTCCCTGGACAAGTAGTTTTTTCAAAAATTTCCACACCTTTGAAAAGGTGTTCTATCGAGTTGAGGTCAGGACTCTGTGCAGGCCAGTCAAGTTCCTCCACCCCAAACTCGCTAATCCATGTCTTTATGGACCTTGCTTTATGCACTGGTGGGCAGTCCTGTTGGAACGGGAAGGGGCCATCCCCAAACTGTTCCCACAAAGTTGGGAGCATAAAATTGTCCAAAATGTCTTGGTATGCTGATGCCTTAAGAGTTCCCTTCACTGGAACTAAAGGGCCAAGCCCAACCCCTGAAAAACAACCCAACACCATAATCCCCCCTCCACCAAACTTTACATTTGGCACAATGCAGTCAGATAAATACCGTTCTCCTGGCAACTGCCAAACCCAGACACGTCCATCGGATTGCCAGACAGAGAAGCAGGATTTGTTACTCCAGAGAACACGTCTCCATTGCTCTAGAGTCCAGTGGCGACGTGCTTTACACCACTGCATCCAATGCTTTGCATTGCACTTGGTGATGTAAGGCTTGGATGCAGCTGCTCAGCCATAGAAACCCATTCCATGAAGCTCTCTACACACTGTTGTTGTGCTAATCTGAAGGCCACACGAAGTTTGGAGGTCTTTAGCTATTATGCTGACCCTGCTCTGTCATTTTACGTGGCCTACCATTTCGTGGCTGTGTTGCTGTTCCCAGTTGCTTCCTCTTTGTTACAATCCCACTAACAGTTGACCGTGGAATATTTAGTAACAAGGAAATTTCACGGATGGACTTATTGCACAGGTGGCAACCTATCACAGTGCCACGTTTGAATTCACTGAGCTCCTGAGAGCGACCCATTCTTTCACAAATGTTTGTAGAAGCAGTCTGCATGCCTAGGAGCTTGATTTTATACACCTGTGGCCATGGAGGTGATTGGAACACCTGAATCCAATGATTTGGAGGGCTGGCCCAATTTGTTTGGCAATATTGTGTGTGTGTGTGTGTGTGTGTGTGTGTGTGTGTGTGTGTGTGTGTGTGTGTAAATATAGCTTTTAGTAACTGCACAGTGTACTTACATCTCTCTCTCCGTCATAGTACCCCCCTGGAATGAGGCAGCAGGTTCTGCTCTTCTTCAGTCGCCTTTTGTCAAAGGTCCAGCGTCCTCTTCTGCACTATAATAATATCCATCGACCTGTACAAGTGAGTAGTAAAAGCATATTAATCCTTCTTTTTTTTTTTTTTTTTTTTTTTTTATTCTCTAAACCATTTTGTTGGAATCATTAGGTTGCATAAAACCTCTGATAGTACCTGTCTTGTGACGCCTCCTCCCTTAGCCTCCAAGATGATGAGTATCCATAACAGCTTTAAAGCAGAACTTCAGCCAAAAATTAACGTTCCTCTCCTCAGACTATAACTGAAATGCAGCCTTTTTTTTTTTCAAGGGGGTGGAGTGGGAACCATCTTTGACAGGTTACCTGCTTCCATTTCCTTAATCCTTGTCTAGGTGAGAATTATATCATATTAGCTGTGAGGCATCTGGAGGTCACCGGGGATTAAAAGCCTGGTGAAGATGTCTCCGTTCTGAGGAAGACATCACTGGACTCCAAGGGCTGATAAGTACCTGTTTGTTAAAAGCTGCAGTATTTTCAGCTCCTGACTTTCAATTTTTTTAATAAAACAGATGAGTTTCCTCTTTAAAGTGGAACTATAAACAAAATCAAAAATTGCAGTCAATCAATATCATCAGCACAATATTTTTCTTTCTTTTTTTTTTTTTTTTTTTACTTGGTCCTACTATAACATTGTTTTTTTTTTTTTTTTTTTTTTCTTTTTACTTAACAGGTCAAACAGCCCAGTTAAAGGGGTTGGAACAAATCATATATCACTGCCTAAAGTGCTTACAACAGTCAGCTTTTATTGTATGGATTAAAACTTTTGTCCAGTACAAAACAAATCCTACTGTTTTAACTGCTCAAAATGGGTTAGGCCTTAATTTATTTGTCCTTTCTTAAATACAGAATATAGATTGCTTTTTCAACTTGTTAGATTTGTTGTAGGCGGACAGTGCTGAGTCACTGCCTAACAATTAGTAGCAGCATTGTCTGCTTATTATAGGAACTGGAAAAACGATGGATCCACTAGAAGGATCAACTTGTAATAAAACAATATTACAGGGGGAGCTCTGAAAAACAAAAGTGCTAAACGTATGCTAATGACAGACTGCATTGTGTCGTTTTTGATTTTTTTTGCTCACACCTCTGCTTTAAATATTAGAGCTCCTTAGTTTTTAACCTTTTTCTTAAAGTAATCCTGCCAACTATTGTAAATATTTTCTAAAGGTGCCCTCTTTTGCCCTTATTAGCCAAAAAAAAACTTTCATTTGACCTTTATTTTTAATATCTGCTTTTAGTGATTCTCAACATTCTTTTCAGTGTCATAGTCACTTTATTGGTATGGTTTGTCTAGATCAGTGGTTCTTAACCTGGGTTCGATCGAACCCCAGGGGTTCGGTGAGTCAGTCTCGCGGGTTCGGCGGAGGTGAAGACCCACACCCGACTCATATGATTCGTGATGACATGCCCCGCTTGTCCATCATTGGCTGCAGGTGGTCACGCAACATCGCTTAGCCCAGTGGTCGGCAAGCCGCGGCTCGCGAGCCACATGCGGCTCTTTACACGCTTTAATGCGGCTCTTGTGTGCCGGGCGCCCCCGCTCCCCTCCCTCCTCTCGTGCGGCAGGGACTCTGCAGCGTGATCCAAAAAAAAAAAACAGCCAGGGCAGCGCGCTCAAATGCAATGATTGGCCAGTCTCGCTGCCACTCACATCCTGATAGCCAGTGATTGGCTGTCAGGATGTGTGTAGGCGGGGCAGCGTGACGAACGTGAGAGGAGCTAGGCTCCTCTCACAGTCCGCCCTGAAGACTGGAACGGCGCGGGAATACGGTGAGAGGAACGCGTGGAGCAAAGGTAAGTGAATTGACACAGGGGGGACTTGGCTTACTACTTGCTACTTACTTACTACTATTATATAAGGGATGAATTAATATGGGGGATGAATTACTATAGGGGGGATGAATTACTATATGGGGGAATGAATTACTATATGGGGGATGAATTACTATGGGGGATGAATTACTATATGGGGGATATGAGTTACTATATGGGGGATGTATTACTATGGGGGATGAATTACTCTATGGGGGGATGAATTACTCTATGGGGGATGAATTACTCTATGGGGGATGAATTACTCTATGGGGGATGAATTACTCTATGGGGGATGATTTACTATGGGGGATGAATTACTATATGGGGGATGAATTACTATGGGGGATGAATTACTATGGGGGATGAATTACTATATGGGGGATGAATTACTATATGGGGGATGAATTACTATATGGGGGATGAATTACTATATGGGGGATGAATTACTATGGGGGATGAATTACTATAAAACAGTGGTTCTTAACCTGGGTTCGATCGAACCCCAGGGGTTCAGTGAGTCAGTCTCGCGGGTTCGGCAGAGGTGAAGACCCACACCCGACTCATATGATTCGTGCAGTAAATATTCATTATTATGTTTTTGTTTTTGTGTGAAAATCATGTTTTAATGGTTTTGTTCTTTGTTCTTAACGTTTTTGTTCATTTTGTGCACCTATGTATAAATATATACCTATGTTTTGAATTTTAAAAATCATATTTTATTTTTCCAATTAAGAAGGGTTCGGTGAATGCGCATATGAAACTGGTGGGGTTCAGTACCTCCAACAAGGTTAAGAACCACTGGTCTAGATTTTACTTGATAAATAAGTGTGTGTGTGTGTGTGTGTGTGTGTGTGTCATCATGGGTGGGGCCATACTTACACATAACTGTTATCTTTTGTGTGGTCCACAGAAACTGATTGCCCTTGGTGGGGATACTGTTGGGGTGTGACCGCACATAAGGAGGAATTACAGTTCCTGACCTCAGTCTGCAGTAAACTAGAGAAAGACTCTTCACTTATTATTCACATTCTAGAGGTATACTGGTGGTGGAAGCAATCAAGCTTTGGATAGAAGCTGATATTCCTAATGTACTTTTAATCCAATCGCTATTAGAAAACTTTACTTTGTGACTTTTTTAAAGCAAAATGTATATGAGCTTCTTTCCATTCTCTGAAAACGTGCCCCTCCTGATAATGCCTTGCCTGTTCTTCTTGCCTCCTGTGCACTACTATTGGCCATTGAGGTGTCCATTATAGTGATGGCCTAATAGGAATGTGTGGAGACAGTGCTTAGCGGCAGGCTTCACTACTACCTGCAAGTGTTGGCGATTTTCCAGCAAGAGTGGTCCAGCATTCAGCCTTGAAAAGGTTGGGAGGTTGCTGTAGGTATGCACCTGTAGGTGCCTGCACTTCATGCCCTCCTCCCTTCCCCCCAGTTATGATCTCTTTAAAGGGAACTATTCAAATAAAATAGCACATTTTAAATTATTTTAAAATGTATCCAGAATTAAATTAGTAGCTTAAACTGTTTAAAAAAAAAAAAAAAATCTAAACTTTAAATTTTTAATATTTCTGCTGCATTTGACAGAATTGATAGTATTGCCTAGGCCAAGGATCCAAGGGGCTCCACGGGCATACAGGGATTGATTGGAAGACTGGAACATGGGTATTTGCAGACTTCTGTAGGTGCTTTCAGCACTGTTAACTTCAGCACTTTATAGGTCAGATCATGTTCAATTTAAAGGGTTAATTCACATTTACAAAAAAAAACCTGCCTATGCAGGTAAGGAGTGTTTGTAGATAAAAACAAACTGTGCAGCTTTGACTAAAGTTGAATAATACCCTTGCTATGGGTGTAGGTCATTTACATACCTCCCAAACCCCCCCCCCCCCCCCCCCCACATGCTGTTTTTCTTTTCCCGATTCAGTAGCTTTGAGCTCAGTGTTTGAGAGGCCTCCTTTAGCAACATCGTGGGAGTATTACAGTCAGGCTTCAGGAGGTACATAAATGGCCTACTCCTATAGCAGAAGCATTATTCAGAACTGCACAGTTTTTTCTAATTTAATCCAAAAAAAACAGCTCTGTAAGAGTATAGTTGGACAATATTCACCTCCCAAGGAGGTATACCTTTATTGGTGTAGAATAAGTCATAAGTGAATGACCTTAAAAAGTGTCAGCCAGGAAAATTCGGTGGAACCGTCCGCTCCTCACGAATCCCAAGCAGGGAGAAGGCTCCGTAGCAGTGTGCGGCTGAGCCAGCTGGGGATCGCACATGCGCCCAAAACACATTGTCATGGTTACCATCTCTACTTGTGCTCCAAGGCCAGGATCCAGCTTCCGCCCTCACCTTGGTCGCGGTGACATCACCTCCGGAACGCCACGATCTCCAGCTGGCTCAGCCACACACTGCTACGGAACCTTCTGCCTGCTTGGGATTCGTGAGGAGCTGATAGTTCCACCACATTATCCTGGCTGCCATTTTTTAATGTCATTCATTTATGACTTACCCTACACCAATAAAGGTATACCTCCTTGGGAGGTGAATATTATCCAACTATACTCTTACAGCGCTGTTACATACGTAGTTACATAGTTAATTAGTCTAGCTGAAAAAAGACAAAAGTTCATCCAGTTCAACCATAGAAAAAAAAAAGTTATACTTCTGTACCCACAGTTCATCCAGAGGAAGGTAAAAAAACCCAGCAAAGCACGATCCAGTTTGCTCCTGCTGGGAAAATAATTCCTTCCTGATCCCCCGAGAGGCAATCGGATATTCCCTGGATCAACTTTACCTATAAATGTATCCAGTTATATTCTGTGTATCTAAGAAACAATCCAGGCCTTTTTTGAAGCAATCCACTGAGCTGGCCAGAACCAACACTTGAGGGAGTCTATTTTTTTTTCAGTTTTTTTTGGATTAATATGCTTCACTCCTTTTTCGTGCTCAACAGCAGCAGTGAGTAGTGACCCCTTAAGGTGAAATATTTGCGCTTGACTTTCCGACTTACAGTTTTTTATTTACAGACACTCTTTATCTGCATAGGAAGTTTTTTGGTAAAGGTGAACTAACCTTTTAGGAAAAAAAAATCCTGGTGAGTGCTTGCCATTCAACCATTGTTACGACATTGGTCACAAATTCTCTAGGAAAGGCAAGGCACGGGGAGCTGGAATTAGTAAACCATCATGGATACCACTTTATTCAACATAGTACACTGACATATGGAATACATGAAGACCTGCAGAAGTTAACAGGCTGACAGGCAAGATACTCAGATGATAGGCAGACATAGCTCCACGTTGGTTGCAGAAGATGGTTGGGATGGGCATGTAGCCATGCCAGGAAGCAGCGGGCAAGCCAGCAGTATGTATGGCCGCGATGGGGATGCACCAACTGTCACATACGGCCTGTGATATTGGGGGTGGGGCAGCAACGTCTTTCAGAGGCTCTGCCTCCTTTTTAAGGTCCCACCCCAACATCACATGCCGTTTGTGACAGCTGCTTCCTCCCCGTTGTGGCTGTACATGCCACCACCTTGCCCACTGCTTCCCAGAGGACCGTATGCACATCCCAGCTATCTGATGCAGCCATTTGCGGAGCTATATCCACCTGTCGTCTGAGTATCTTGCCGGTCAGCCTGTTCACTTCTGCCAGTCTTCATGTATTCCACATGTAAGTGTGCTATGTTGGTGGTTTACGCCAGTGCCCTGTCTTATGTTCTGAAATCCATCCCTGATCTGCCGAAGGAGCTGCAGGAGTTGGCTGGACTTTGTCATTATTACCCTTTCTTGTGGTCATTCCTTTAGGACATTTTCATGAACACAATATAGCTTTAGGGGTGCTGAGTAAGGGTTTCACACATCTGTATATTTTGTTTGTCACAAATTCTCTGCCCACAAGGTGGATTTGTGTTTAGGCGGAATGCCATTCATTAGATGACACTGTCTCAATGTGAGACACAATTCCCTTTTGCAGAGACCATGAGTCCTGTTTTGAGAGCCTCTGTTAAATTAATATAGCAGCAATGGTAAAAGTGGTTGTAAACCCTTACACATATCCAGTAAATTGACTAGCCTCTGGTGATGCATCAAGATAAAACAAAACCTCCTATACAGGTTGTACCTGTTTATCTGTAGCACTCTCTGCTTTACAACTCTTTTAAAGAATAAGTTTACCTTTTAGGGACAAAATAATAAATGCACATATTTTTGAATTCATTATTTTTCCCCCTGGAGACTAAAAAGCATTGCAGGCACATAACTCCCTCTACACAATCCCATAGGGAAACATGCATAGGTGAGGCTGTCAATCACAGGCTGTGTGCTGGAGGCCCCCTCCTTGTCCCCTTAGATATCATGCAGATGGCAAAGGATGGAGACTGCAGAAACAAATCACACTTGGTGATTTGGATTGAGGCAAGTACACACTATAGAAATATATGCTTTGTAAATGTTTTCTGTCAGAGGTTTACAACAACTTTAACATACATTGTTTTCAATATTTGTATACATATGCATTGGCTGTAATCTTTTGTCAGGCTGTGGCAGGGACATTGCCATATACATTCTATTTAGGTTAGCTATGATATACCTAGTTAAGTGATCTGTATAAAAGGCTTAAGAAAGGCAGGTGCTGTATAAATAAATAATTCTTATACCCCCTGTCACTAGTCACACCACACAAGTTTGTATGTTCAGGAAATTCACTGTTGAGCGATACTGTCTTTTCTTAATACAGGGTGAGCTTGTGAACAGGACGACTTCCACCGAAGATAATAATGAGCCAGCTACTGGATCCGCTAGTTGCAAACCTAAACAGACGTTATTCAAAGCTTTACTCAGACTGTGTTTATGTCAGGTACGGAGGCTTAATATTGAATGGAAAGGGTATATGTTGTTTGTACAGCAGGCATCTAACTTGTATTCCCTTCAGTCACAGAAAGGCCGTGTAGCAGTTCGAGCAAAAGAGGCTCTTCTTGGGGTCCTCCGTACCGCCCAGCAGGAGGCTCCAGCACGAATTATTGCACACAGCGACCTGAGACAGCAATTGTCAGAACGACTATGTGACTTGCACAATGACATCCCTCTGAGTGCTCACCCATGTGATATCACCAGTGAAGAGGACACTGATTGGAGGTCATATTTTAGTCATTCTATACAGATTCCTTTCTCTAAAACTGTGTTTGTAATTGGTACCTCATCTTTTTTAAGATCATTTGACTTCAGCTATTCCTTATTGAAATGAGATCCTTTTCATGAAAAAATTTAATTTTCCTTTTCAAAAAAAAAAAAATCTATAGTGAGGTTTGCCTTGGCTGCTTACTTAAAGCTGAATTCCAGGTGTGATATGATTTGCATACATACATTGGTCCAACGTACCATTTGCAGGGACTGCTGGGGAAGCTTACAATTGCTGTAGTAGTTGGTGCTAATACAGTGATGGCTGGCCATGTTTTTCCTAGATATGTGAACATGGTAACAACTTGTACTTTGGATTCTGGGTGAATCACAGACACAGCACCAGAATCTAAGGGGAATAGGCTAGATGTGTATCCCAATTCACCCGGAAGCCAGAGTAGTCACCAAAGACAGTAATTTCTTGTAGTAAAGTATGCAAGGAGTCGTGGGGACCAGCTAAGTATATCAAGGTGTCGTCTGCATCTAGGGAGATGCGTTCTTCTATCGTATCAATAGGGAGACCTCTAATAGAAGGGGAATTATCGCCAAAGCCATAGAGACGTAATATCTGAAATAGGTAGGGCTATTCTACACTATCAAAGGCCTTACAGGTATCTAGAGAGACAATAAGCGTGTAGAGGAACAGTCATGAAGGTATTGCATATTGTGAAACAATCTGTGAATGTTCATTCTAGTGGAGCGACTAGGTATAAAGCCCCCCTGGTCTCCGCTCACCAGGGCCTCCACTATACCATTCAAACGATTGGCCAAAACGTTCGCCAGAATTTTAACATCAACATTAATAAGGGTAATCGACATATATGAGTCACATTTAAGAGGGTTTTTATGAGGTTTCAAAAGAGAACAAAAAGTGCCTCTCGCATAGTGGGAGGTAAGGTGCCTGGCTTTAGGGCTTCATTAACCACTTCCCGACCGGCCGTTGCATATAAAACGGGCCGCGGACGGTGGCAGTAAGGGTCGGGTGGTCGAATGAACGGGCTAATCAGCAATTTGAAACAGGCGCGCATACCGCGATCGCCCGCTGTGTCTGGACACAGTGAAACACCGATCGTCATCCCGATCATGCCTGGGGATTTATAAGCAGCACTGATGACATCATTGCTTACTACGAAGTAAATGATCACAGAGGTCACATGGTACAAGGCTATTCACAACAGCCTTGTACTTCACAGCTCACTCTGTCAACACAGAGAGGTAAAGAGAAATGATTGCTTTTACATCCTATATGGGTGTAAAAAGCAATCATTGATCTTCATCACCCTCCACAAGTAGTACAGTGTCACCATGGTGACACTGTACTCTAGGGGACAGTATGTAAAAAATAAAATAAATAAATAAAAAATAATATAAAAAAAGTAAAAAAAAAATGGGGACTAATTTGTTTTTGTTTTTTTTTTTACTAAAAAGACCATTTTGGCAAAGATTTATGATCAAAATTTTATAAAATTTTTGGACTTTTTCATGAAAAAAAAATCAAATAAATACCACCAAAATAAAGCTTTATCTGTCGCAAAAAAAATGGTAAAAAAATTAATTTGGGTACAGTGTTGCATGACTGCGCAATTATCAAAAGATAGCGCTGAAAGCTGAAAATTGCCCTGGTCAGGAAGGGGGTAAAAAGTGTCCGGTCTGAGTGGTTAAAACGTCCAAAGAAGAAACGGGCTAATCAGCGATTTGAAACAGGCATACCACTCGGCTGGTAAGCCATCAATGCCTGGGGTTTTATGAGCGGATAGCTGAGAAATAGCTTGGTCTATAACTGAGATAGGTACATCCAGATCCCCTTTTACACACGGGGAAAGTAGGGGAGGGTGACCCGCGTCAAATAGCTGATCAAGCGATCTAGCAATGGGCTGTTGTAGTATAAAGATCAGTATAGTATGACAGAAAGGCACAGCAACTTCAAGAGGTGTACCCAACTGTCCAGAAGGTAAGTTATCCGGGGGATAGAAGTATGGGCAAATTCATGTGTTAAGTTTTTTGTTTTTTTTTGTGTAATGTTTTTTTTTTTTTTTTTTTGTTTTTTTTTTAGTAAGGTCTAACAATCGAAGTTCATAATCTCTATGCCTCAGCATCCATTTTACCCTAGTAAGGGGATCAGGGCTAGCAGCATTACTTTCAGCGGTCACCATGGCTGACTCCAGTTCCTCAGTGCCTATTTGAGTATTTTTACGTAGCATACCAGTAACAGACATAAAGGTTCCCACGGAGGGTAGTTTTAAATGCCTCCCACTCCGTGGAAGGGTCAGCAGTGTCCAAGTTTGTATTCCAATAGTCAGCAATACCTTGTGTACATTCTCCCTGTACCACCTCGTCCTCCAACCACTATGGGTTCAAGCGCCACAGTGTAGAACCAGTGCAAGGAAGCAGGAGGAGGTCCATGGAGAGTGGGGCATGATCTGAAATGCCCCCAGGCAGATAGTAAACAGCATAGACTAAAGGAAGCGTGGTCACAGCAGCAAAGGCCACATCAAGACATGACATAGTGTGAAAAGAGTCAGAGTGGCAGGAGTACTGACGAGCATCAGGGTCCATCGCCATATTTCAGTAAGATTATACACTTGTACCCAGTCTAAGAGTGTCTGATACATTTTACCACCACCCCCCAAGCGGTCAACAGCAGGGTCCAATACTACGTTAAAGTCCTCAACATAGAGTAGGGGACCACTAGGGAGGGACAGAGTCATAAGGGATGAATTAGTTAGATCTGGAGAGAACGGAGGTGGAATATAAACATTTACCAATGTAAACATAATAGAGACAATCTGAATGGTAAGGACAACAAATCTCCCTTCCCGATCTGTTTTCACTTGGATAATGTCCGCTATGAGGGATTTAGCCCACAACACAGAATCCCCAGAGTAGGAAGTATGGGTAGAATGGAAGGACGTTTAAGTGCCAAAAGTTTAGATCCGATTAAATAGGTCTCCTGGAGACAAACAGTATGTGGTCTATGTTTTTTTCAAAAGGAGAATACCAATGACTGCTCTAGGGTTCCAGGAAAGAACTTTCAGTAGCACAGACATAAAAGATCAGTAGAAACATAGATATAAACACAGGATATCCACGTAACATGGAGCACATCTCTACAACTACATCTCTCTAGATTGTAAGCTCCAAGGAGCAGGGCCCTCCTTCCCCTCTTGTATTGAACTGTATTGTTGCTGTATTGTCTCCCGTTATATTGTTAAGTGCTGAGCAAACTGTTGGCGCTATAAAAAATCCTGTATAGTAATAATAATAACTAGACTGTAAAACTGGAGAGAAGGCATGTGACATTAGCAAGAAAAAAACAAAAACCTCTTGTTTCCAACAAAGAACCTCCCAAAACCCTCCCTGCCCACCCTGCTCTTCCATCCCCAACTTAGAGAGCTTAGATCCCATTAACTCTTGAACGTCCAGTGGCCTCGCCACTAACAGGTCGGAAGGTATGCTGAAGTCCGTTTTGGCTCTTTACGGTAGAAATCAAATTTTTTAAGAGGGTAGAAAGAGTCCCTGAGGCAGGGCCAGAAAGACAGAAATGGGCAGTCCATCGCCGCAAGAGGAGTTCAGTAGAAGCTAAAGGCAACAGGATCTGCCAGCACTGGTGAGGTTCTCCGAAGAAAGCCCCAAAGAGTTGAAAATGGGTTCATGTATAGGAGATCTTGATAGAGCTAACGTCACCCACTCTTGGGCTCCAGTCCAAAACAGTCATCCAGCCAAGACATTGCCTCCTGTTGGTTTGGTGTAAAAGGGAGCTTTCCCATCCTGGAAAAAGCATAGCATATTTTAGGCCATAAAGTTTGGTACATTTTGTTTCAACAGAGAGAACCCGACATGGATGGTCTCTATCTGCCTAGTCAAAAGTCTTGCATTCATGTATGGCTTGCATAATCTGAGATAATGTAGGTTCAGTAGGTTGCTGAACAGTATCCCCCTCATTATCAGAGCCAGAAGGAGAGCCCAAGGGAGAAGAGAGGGCTACAGGCAGAGCAGAGATCTCAGGGGGAGAAGCACTCACCAATCCATTAGGGCCTGTCTGGGAGGAAGCAGGAGGCGGCAGCGTGGAGGCAGAGTGACTGATGCCAGTGCCATCCTGCCTGTGAAAGGGGGCCTGTTTTTCCGCTGCCAATGGAGCCGTAGCTTGCCCGATTTTGACCACGGTAATGTCCCAGTAAGGTGCCCGTCGTCAGGGGGAACAGAATGATGCATCTTATGTGAGGATTCAGTGTAGGATATCTTAAGGATATGTGAACAGAGCCAGAGCCGTCGGGTTAAGATGCCGCTTGGTCCAGCATCAGGCCACGCCCCATGCCATGATTTTCCAGATCCCCATTGTACACTAACCACAGGGTTTGGCTTGCTCAGTACTGCTACAATTTGCCAATGTATTTCACTGAATACAAGGTGTTCTCTGATTGGATTAGACGGTGGCAGTGTCACAAACTCCAGCTTGTCCAATCTAAGAATGCCTTGTATTTATTGAAAAAAAATTCAAGGCATTCTACAAATGGCGGCAGTGCTGAGCCAGTGAACTTTTGTGGTCAGTGTGCAGAGGGGAAACCACTTGACCTTCAAGACCACTGTTACAGTGATTGTCAGCCTTCCCAGCGATCCCTCAGGTATGAGATATGCGTACTTTGGACCAAGCAGGACCAATGTAAGTATGCAGTACAGATCATACCTTTAACGCTCCATATAGTGTCACTTGTGCCTTGCTCATTTCACCACTGTGGAGCATGCATGCAGGATCTCCTGAATTGACTGGCCGCCTGGTGCTACATTCATAAGGTTGCTCTCGGCGAAAGATGTTTAAAGTAAAACAGGCTGTCTGGGAATTCACCAGATTATTCTTTATTGTTACTTTACATTCCAATTTACTGTTTTAAAATGACATCCCAAACATTAAATGACATTCCAAACATTGTTACTGGCATTGCCCAGGGTAAACTTCAGACTACTGCCCCCTATTTATGGAGATGAGCAAAGGGGAAGGTTTTTTGTAGTCCTAATATGTTTCTTAGGCATTGCTGCTCCTGCATAGATACAGAACAGTGAGTGAGCATTGTCAGGCTAGCACAAAAAGTGTGTTACTGTGGGTTCCCTAGGGGGAAAAATAAAGAAAATCAAACGTGACGTACTGGTTACCTGCAGTTTTTTAGATATTAGGCTTTATAGCAAAGCCTAATATAGCTTTGTAGTTTTTGGGCTTTATAGTAAAATGTGGGATGCAGGACTACTGCCAATATATTCTATATCATAATGTTAAATAATTCTTAAATCTATTCTCTCTGCTTTGCAGGACAGAAGTCAGCAAAGAGGAGTATGACACCATGCCACCAGAGATGGCCTCCGTGCGGAGGTTTCTGTGCTGGTTAAAGTTCTGTAACTCTTTATTACAGGAGTCCCATGAGGTAAAACATATTTTGGACCCTCACTGTGTTTCTCTAGGACTTTTTGTTCTATCTGAATCTATCAAGCTTAACCCTCTTTTGTTTCCTCATCACAGATAGTCGCTGTGTCCATAGCAAATGCAATTACAGAAGTCTACCTGCAGGGAAAACTCCAAGACGAACTGCTGCAAGTGTGAGTGTTAGGAATTTGGGAGCACATAGAGTATGTTGTGATGTTATGGGGATATTTACTGGGTGATGGATATAAAGATGGCCAGGAAATGAGGCACGTTCTATCTGACTTGCTGCAGCTTCTAATGCACACTGTGAAAGATGAAATCAACGTAATCAAGTTCAGTACAGAGGAAAGAAGCCTGTACAACTGTGCAAGATTTAGGGGAAGGCTAGAATTCAGCTTTAGAAACCATTCAGAGCAAACTTGTAGCCAGCATGGTAAAGGGCCAGAAAACATGGACACCTATTAACAGCAACAGAACTGACTTTAAAAGGGTTAGTACAGCTGCATTTTTTTTTTTTTTTAGCGTAGTTTCAGTTGATTTTAAAAAAATAAATAAATAAAAGTCAGCAGTTACAAAAACTGCAGCTGCTGACTTTTAAAATACAGACCGTTACCTGTCCCACGATCCTGCAGTGTCCTCACCATGGCTGGTTTCACCAGCCGTCTATTCTCCCCAGCACTGGCATCTTCAGTGTGGACACCCAGCTGTGACAGCTTGCGGCTTCACAGCCCGAGCCAGGTGCCCACTGTACTTGCACAAGTAGCGCTGTGCTTTGTGATTGGTCCCGTAGTCTTCTGGGACCTGTCACGTGTCTCAGAAGACTACGTAGAGGGAGGAGGACAACTTCTGCTTCTGATCGTCTTAGGCGATCACAGCGGAAGTGGGAGCGGGTACATGTCAAATTCGGGTACCCGCTCCCCAAAGGTACCAATCCTTAACAGGAAGCGGGGGACAATGCATTAAAGCTGAACTTTCCCTTTTGGGGGGAGCTCTGCTTTAAGTATATAGGCTACCCAAGCTATAGCATTTGTCCAGCCTTGACCTTGGTTATTGATATTGCTGTGTAGTGTTGAAAACTCCCTAGCAGTATGCGGTGATGTATTGGATTAGGATGTGCACACATTGGTAATACATAATTGTGTTCTTCCTGTAGATCAGAACTACATATTCTGAAGAGCACAGCTCTACTCACCGCTCTGCTCCAACATCTGAACTCTCCACCATTACTGCATCAGCAGCTTCTCATTTTTATACTGGGAGAGGAGAAAGGCCCAGAAAGAAAGAGTGACAGATCTCCACAGCTCCGATCCCAACTTATTCAGAGATGCAACCATCTCTCTGATGAGGTAACCAGCTCGGCCTAGTATACCTTATTGCAGCAGTGGGTCAAATTTAGACCTTAGGGAAGAATTCCAAGCATCCACATTTTGTACATAGTTACATTGCTCCTGTATGGACCGATGTAACAAATAATATGCCATACCTGGCCGATGCCCCTGGAAATCACTGAAGTAGCATCACTACTCCAGTAATCCCCACATGGAGGTTGGCAGCTTAGCATGGGTGCCATTTAGAGAATGCTTTGCTTTTCTTCTTAATGCAAAGTATACTCAGGATGAGGTGAAGAGCATGAGGTCACCACCCCGCTACTTCACCTCGTGCAATCAGAGAACGCATTGCATTCCAAAGCATTCTGTGAATGATGCCCATGGCAAGCAGCCAACCTCCTGTGTTAATGCTGCAGGAGTGCAGTCACTCAGCACACACTTTGAAGCAAGCGGAGGTCACTTCAATGATTTTTCAGTTTCCAAGGTGCCAGCCAGGTATTGCATATTATTATACAGGACTTGTATAGCGCCAACAGTTTGCTCAGCGCTTTACATTATGGATATACATAATTACACTGGTCCAAGTATAACATTCTGATACCAGGAATTCTTCTTTAAATGGTTAGTTTAGCCAAAAATATTTTTTGTTTTATATGTATAGTGTGGTGGGTTTCTATGAATGGGGTGTTTCCTCTTTTGCATGTTTTATAATATAAATAAATGGAAAACCCCATCAGGAGAAGTGGCACACCCCCATAATTTGCTGTAGTAGCTGTCCAGTCCTGAGAACACAAATGCTGATATCCTTGCCATTTCCTATAAACTGAAATGAAAGCCCATAAGTCTTTATCCTCTTTACAGTATATAAACTACTAGTCCCATCAATCTGTCCCTGTAATAGATGGACAAATGCAGACAATTTTTAAAAGTCCAGTCTGTGTGACAATCATGGCTCCCTCCTATAGCTACAGTGGAGAAAAAAAAGTGTAGATATGAAGGCACAGGAAATTTTGTTATTTGTAGGATCACCAGGTGAAAATAAAGGGTAATAAAGTAAACTAGGCTACAGTATCTAATGACTGGTGAGCTGCAATATGTAGTAATATTTTTCTTTTCTTTTTTTTTTCTTTTTTTTTTAGTTTAGATGCACTTTAAGATAGGCCATCGCTTGATAGCCCTATCCTCTCCTGCTTGCCATTGTCTGCTTTACAGTCCTCTAAGACAGCCAAGTAAACAAACTGAAGGAAAAAGTTATTTCAGTTAAAAAAAGCATGACCTTTTTTTGTTTCTTTGTAATTTTTTTTTTTTCTTTTCAGATAAGTCTCACCACAATGCGCCTATTTGAGGAGATGTTCCAGTCATCTGATGAGATGGCCCTGAACAGTCTGGTGCTCCGCAACCTGGAGAATCAGCATTACCTGTCAGGGGGGAGTGAAGAGAGCCGAGTGCAGGATGTGGAATCCTTTGAAGGCACAGAGTAAGTCTAAAGAGAACTTAATGTGATTTGCCCATACAAAGCAGAACAGCAGGTTTATTTAACGGTCCCCTTCTCCAGGTGCACATACTCCTCTTCTCCTAGTGAGGGATCTTGTGAATGTTGGATCATTGGAACAGAGGTATTTTTTACTTTAGTTCTGCTATAAACAGCACTTGTGATCCTCTGACCCCATGACAGTCTTGGTACTCGGTAATTGGCCACTCATTGTGGGAGGGAGAGGAGAAAGTGACCTGCTCCCATACCCAAGAAAGCCAGGTTGCCAGGTTCTGTCTTTGCTGCAGGCATGGGCAAAGCATAGGCTTACATTAAGAACTGAAGATTTTATGAAAAACATACACATATAGGGGTTTAATTACAAAAGCTGGTTCACTCAAAATCTCGTGCACCTGTGCATGGTAGCCAATCAGCTTCCAACCTCAGCTTGTTCAGTTAAACTTTAGCAATAAAACCTGGATGCTGATTGGTTTCTATGCAGAAGTGCACGAGATTCAGAGTGAACCAGCTTTAGTAAATAAACCCCATAGTGTTCAATTTTTTTAAAGGGATCACATAGCCATTGGTCCAGCAAATCTGCCTCTGTATATTGGTTCTGTGTGAATTGCCCAAAAACAAATTGTATTAGGCTATCCATGAGAAATTGCATATTTTGTTTGAGGGATCTTTCCAAAATTTGGTGTTTTTAAGGTTTAGTCAACTTTACCTATGCCAAAACAAGATGTATGAAAAGAGACTGGGTAATAAACGGCTGCTGTAGTCTGCAGACTGTAATGGCTCTCCACAATACTTTACTCACTGAGGAAGTCATTTATTTTCTGTCTGTTGCTGAAAACTTTGGAGATGTTCGTTATGGCCAGAAAGGGACTGTAAATATGCTCTATAGTTACTCTTCTAATGCATGCAATGCATATTCATGCTTAAACTTTACAAATGTAATTATTGCCTGCAGAGAGCTTGAAGAAGACCCTTACTTCACAGATGGGCTCCCGGACACAGGTCTACAGATGATGGGAAGAAACCAGGGACGTCATGGAGAGTCCATGGGGGCCGAGCAAAGCATGAGAAGGTAAGGGGAACACAGCAGGTGGTAAGGGTTAGACCAACCACATGGTGATAGGCCGACCACAATGAAGATCTTTCATGAGATTCAAGTAAGATGTGATTGAATACTCAATCAAGCAAGTCACATTAAACAATCACAAATTATGTTCCTGCAGTTCATGCTGTGTTTTCAGTAAACAATATTTATTGAGTATTCTTTGAAAATACAATGTTTATCCAATTTGTGTATGGTCATCCTAAATCTAAGTGAGCTAATCTCAACCGTCAGTAAAAAATGCTAAGCCAGGTTGGTGGGTAGTGGATATAATAAAAGAGGAGCTTTGAATAAATTACTCAGATCCATTCTGCTTTTTGTCCATTTAGTTTCCTTTCCTTGGTGCCAGAGGAAATGAAGTCTTCAGACTCTGGATTTGACAGTTATCTGCAGGATGCTCTAGTCCAGGTAAGCCACTTGCAGTTAAAGCTGAACTCTAGGCAAATATAAAAAGCACAAATAAAAGGGTTAGTTCACCTTTACTGATTTTTGTCACAAACTTCCCTACACATTACAGTATCCTCCCTGCATTAACATGTGGTGCTCCTTTTTGTAAACAAATGTTTTACTTTTTCAGCTGCTCATATCATTGCCTTCTCCTCGCTGTCCTGCAGATGGCAGTATGGAGGGCAATAAAATGAGCAGCTGGAAAAGAAAAGTAAGCTGGCTTTTACAGAAAGGAGCACAGCATTTATTTATTACAGGTGCTTATATAGCGCCATCAACTTACGCAGCGCTTTACATATACAGTTGTGCGCAAAAGTTTGCATACCCTGGCAGAAATTGTGAAATTTTGGCATTGATATTTAAAATATGACTGATCCCCGGATATGCCAAAAATGCTCTTTTATTGAAGGATGATGATCATATGAAGCCATTTATTATCAGATAGTTGTTTGGCTCCTTTTTAAATCATAATGATAACAGAAATCACCCAAATGGCCATGATCAAAAGTTTACATACTCTGGAATGTTTGGCCTTGGTACAGACACACAAGGTGACACACACGGGTTAAAATGCCAATTAGAGGTTAACATCACACATCTGATTTAACAGTATTGATTGGTATGGTCAAGGCTTTGGACATCTTTATGTCCTTTTCCATCTTTATAAAGTTCCATTTACCTTGTTACGCAGGACTTTTGACAGTTCTTTTCATGGCTCAGTATCTAGCATAGTCAGTGCTGCCATGTAAGAGCTAACAAACTCATTGGCTATTTATACACTGACATTAATTACAATTTAAAAAGCCACAGATGTGGGACATTAACCTCTAATTGTCATTTTAACCCATGTGTGTCACCTTGTGTGTCTGTACCAAGGCCAAACATTCCAGGATATGTAAACTTTTGATCATGGCCATTTGGGTGATTTCTGTTATCATTATGATTTAAAAAGGAGCCAAACAACTATTTGATAATAAATGGCTTCATACGATCATCATCCTTCAATAAAAGAGCATTTTGTGGCATGATCAGTCATATTTTCAATATCGATGCCAAAATTTCACAATTTCTGCCAGCGTATGCAAACTTTTGAGCACAACTGTATATATTATACATTCACATCAGTCCCGAACCCTCAAGGGGCGTACAATTTAGGGTCCTTAACTTACATTCATACATACACATACTAGGGCCAATTTAGACAGGATCCAAATAACCCTTTTGAGTGTGGGAGGAAACAGGAGTACCCAAGGGAAACCCATGCAGGCACAGAGAGAACATGTAAACTCCAGGCAGTTGGTGCTATAGTTGGAATTTGAACCTGCGTCCCTAGTACTGCCAGGCGGAAGTGCTAACTATTTAGCCAATGTGCTTCTCTGCACCATGTTAATGTACTTAGGACATGGTAATGCACAGGGATGTTTGTGGCAAAATTCAATAAAGGTGAATTAACCCTTTTAATGCAGATCCATTATCCATATGTCATAGTCTTTATCTGGTTCATCTTGAGAATTTCAACTCTTTCGATAAGACAATAACATTTAGTTTTATGTTAGTAAATAGTCACTGTGTTATCTCATCTACGCAGCATCAGAGTTGTTGTAAGCTGGCATCAAATTGGAATTGGCCATCAGCTCCACAGTCCTTGAGCACCAGCCCCTCTGGAGAGGAATTCTACGAGGGACAGTTCCTGCAGGTTCTGTTTGATCGGCTAGGGGGAATCCTGGATCAGGTATTTTGTATTTTATTGTTTCTGGCCAGCACATCACTTGCTGACATTAGCCAGCTTCTTTTCAAAGACTGGTGTGTACTGAATCACATGAGAGTATTGTGGTGCAGGAGCATGGGTTTAATCTTCAACGTATAGCTGCTTACTTAATGACTATAAATATCTGGGATCCTGCATGTTAATGTGCATGCACAATTGTTTGGCCATATTATTGTGTGTCTCAATGTTAACAACCCATCTGTTTCTCCTGGTTTGTTTTTCAGCCATATGAGATGAATCTACAAGTCACTTCATTACTCACCCGCATTGCCCTGTTTCCTCACCCGCACATCCAGGAGTATCTTCTTAATCCTTATATTAATCTGGCCCCAGGAGTCCGGTCTTTATTTTCTGTGCTCGTACGGGTGAGACCTTAACCAAAGCCTACTTGTATACTTCAAGTTGGTTGTTTTACTCCAAGGAAACCTCTACAGAGATATACTATGTGGACACCTGACCATCACATCTGTATGAGCTTTTTGGACATTCTGTTCCAACAACATGGGCATTAATATAGTCCTATGCCCAGTAAGCCAAAGGAACATTTGTTGAGGTCAAGTTCTGATGTTAATAGACAAGACCTGTCTAAAGATTGGCATTTCAGTTCATCCCAGAGCTGTGTTCAATTGCTCTGAGGTCCAGGCTCTGTGAAGGCCACTTGAGTTTCTCCACATCAAAACTCGTAAACAATGTCTTTGTCGACTTGGCTTTTTGCACAGGCACAGTCATGTTGGAACAGTTAGAGACTTTCCTCAAATTGTTGACACAAGAATGGAAGTGCACAATTTTATAAAATGTCTTTGGACACTGTATTAATATTATTGCTTCCCTTTTCTAGAAACACCTGAAATCGATCATTTGAAGGCTTGTCCACATACTTTTTGCAATAGAGAGGGTGTGATGGTCAAGCGTCCTCAGACTGTTCTGTAAAGTGTAAATGTGAAGGCTGCCATTACTGGCCTTTTTGAAAATGCTAGTTTTCTGGCTTCAGTACTTTGAGAAACTCACCCAGAATAAAACAATGGAGAGCAAGAAAGGCAGATTGAAGTCTGCATGCTTGTTCTGGGTCAGACTTCGAAAGCACTGAAGTGTTTGGATCAGCATTGTTCCTTGGTATGTAGTACTGTGTAGTAATTGGAAATGTGGGCACAATATAACCACTTAAAGATCAACCTTCCTAATGATTCCTCTGTAAACATGTCTGTTCCCATTGCCTTCGTACATAAGCCTTTGGGTGTATGTAGAGCAGCCTGGAATAACTAGAACCAGGCTTGATAATTGGGAAAGCAAAATAAATTGGCATAAAATATAGCCCACTAGTTTGTTGGTTCCCTGAGAACAACGGGGTTCTCTTCTGCTACCCAGAGACAGTTGGTGACCAGCCAATCCAAAAATGACATTATTCAACCATTGTCTGAAGTCTGGAAGTACCCAAATACACCTTTATATTGTGCTGTATCACTCAATTCACAAAGCTTTAAAGCAGAACTAAACCCTCTTATCATTAACAGCCAATGAAGCTGCCATATTTGCCTCTATTCAATCTGCATTTGTCATGGTGCTGCACATGTGATCAACTATCACATCAGCCTTTTGATGGCTTGACTATTCGGTTGATCGCTAACATAAGCCTGTTTAGTAATTGAAATGGCCACTCGCATGTAATCGCTCATGCAGAAATCAGATAGAAGTGATTGGCCCTGAACACAGGCAATTTGTGTTCAAGGCCGATTACTCTCATATGATGGCCGCAAAAGCGGTTACATGCTAGTGCCTGTGATTAGCTATGGGAGCTGTCAGCCTCAATGGGTCTGCCTCCCACTGCTAGTCTTGGGAACCCCCTCTGGGGTTCTCATCTAATTGGAGAGCAGGGGTGAGTGTACCTTTAACAGTTAACCCAAGGCATGCCTTGAATATTACTGTTTTGGGAAGCAGTTAAATCAGTGGGTTTAGTTCCAGTTTAACACAAGGTTTGAGTTTTTTTTTTCCCCCAGCCGTGTGACTGATTTTCAGTTCAATTAGCTGGAAATATCTATTATTTATTCATTTATTTCAGGTTCTTATATAGCGCCATCAATTTACACAACGCTTTACATATATATTATACATTCACATCACTCCCTAACCCTCAAGGTGTGTACAATCTAAGGTCCCCAACTTACATTCATACATACACATACTAGGGCCAATTTAGACAGGATCCAATTAACCTACCAGCATGTCTTTGGAGTGTGGGAGGAAACCGGAGTACCCGGAGGAAACCCATGCAGGCACAGGGAGAACATTCAGACTCCAGGCAGGTGGTGCCGTGGCTGGGATTCGAACCAACGACCCTAGTACTGCCTGGCAGAAGTGCTAATCATTTAGGCTGGCCATACACTATACAATTTTCCTGAGATTTTTGCTTTAGATTTACCAAAAACCATATAATATGAGGTCAAACCTAAACAACACTTTCAATTGTATCTAATTAGGCGGGCCCTTGCACTACATAGTGGAAGGTAAATCTAAAGGAAATTGGGCAGAAATCTGTAAGAAAATTGTATAGTGTACGGCCAGCCTTAGCCACTGTGCTGCCCAATATCTATTATGTTTTCATGCATTGTTGTGACCTGCCACATCTAACTAACACTTGGTGATGCTGCAGGTGGTTGCAGATCTTGCTCAGCGCTCCCTGCGAGTGTCCAGTTTCCAGGAGATGTTGCACCTTATGAGACGACAGCTGCTAGGGGAAACCCCTGAGCATCGTAAGTACCTATGTTTCAGTTATAGCTGGAGTGTTGGCTGAGCCAGCTCCAGGCATCTTAATCCAGCAAGTAGAATAGGAGCCACTCATAATGGCCGCAACAAGTGTGAAGACCCAGGAAATCATTCCAGTGATCACAAGACATTAAATAGACCGATCTTTCCCTAAGATTGTAATGTGCATTTAATGTTTCTTGCACACGTTTCTACCCATAAAATCCTCCCTTGTGTAGACATACAAAAGCCCTGAGACTGTTCCTGGACACTGCCATCTTGGATGTGATGTCAGGAGCCCAAGAAGACAGTTGTCACTCAAATGACACTCTATAGCACAGGTGTCAAACAGGCGGCCCTCCAGCTGTTACCAAACTACAAGTCCCATGAGGCATTGCAAGATTGACAGTTGCAACCATGACTCGCAAAGGCATGATGGGACTTGTGGTTTTGCAACAGCTGGAGGGCCGCAGTTTGACACCCCTGCTCTATAGTATTCCCTTTCACTTATTTCCCGGCAGCTACAGAAAAAGTGTTTTTAGAGAGGGGTGAAGGAGCTGGGCCAGCAGAGCCCGTAATAGCATAGATTAGGAGAGGGCTATGACATGCAAAAAGGGAGGAGACAACTTTGGCCAAGGAAAGCAGCTCTTCTTGGACTGGTTGAATTCCCTAAGTCCAACAACACATTGCAAATGAAGGAAAGATTGTTAATGGAAAAGTCAACATTTAAAATACTTGATTTTTCTGTATTTTACCTTTTTAGTGTTCTCAAAAACAGTATTCACAATAACCCACTTCTGTTTAAGAGTTAAAATAATACAGGACACTCACCTTTTTATCTCCCTTACTGCTGCCATATATCAAGGCTAAAAACAGTCTGGCCATTGACCTGTTTGCATGAAAAACGCATGCCTTTTCAAGGCTGAATGCCCTGGATTGTTTTAAGTACAGTAAACTGTAATAGCTTTCAATTTTATTAGATTTTTGCAAAGTTTTATATAGGTTTTAAAATTTTTATAGATCTATTTTTACCTATTATTCGCTGCTGTGGCTTATTCAGTTGTGTGTAAATTACAGCTTTGGGTTATTGAGATCTGTAAGGGCTTGATCACACTATCTGCGTTGGGCTGCATTGATCTGCATAGATCATATTGGGCACAACACTAGGGCACAATTGTTTTCTATGTGCCTTCTGCACACCACAACACTGCGGTGAGGTGCATAGCAGGAAAATGCTGCATGTTATGTAGTACAACTTGCCGTACTGGTGACACTTCAATAAAAAAAAAACAGTAAACAATGCAACTAACTACCCTACACAATAGACAGTTTAACCACTTGCCCTCCAGAGGATTTACCCCCCCCCCCCCTTTCCTGAACAGGCCATTTTTTGCGATACGGTGCTGCATTATGCAACTCTGTACATGAATACAATTTTATGTCCTTTTTCCCCACAAATAGAGATTTCTTTCGGTGGTATTTGATCACCTGTGCGTTTTTAATATTTTGCGCTATAAACAAAAAAAACTATTTTGAAAAAAAAAAACATGATTTTTGACTTTTTGCTATAAAACATACCCAGTAAAAAAAATTTAAAAATCTAAGTTTGTCATAAATTTAGGCCAAAATGTATTCTGCTACATGTCTTTGCTAAAAAAAAAATCCCAATACATGTAAATTAATTGGAATACGTGAACAATATAATGGTGGTGTGTATATATACTGGAATTTTTATTTTTTTTATACTAGTAATGGCAGTGATCAGCGACTTACAGTGGGACTGCGGCGGGCATTCTGACATTGGGTGTGAAATGACTGACAGTCCAATGACACTAATACATTGATCAGTGCTAATAAAAAGCACTGACACTGGGCAGGAAGGGGTTAACGTGTGGGGCGATCAAAGGGTTAAATGTGTGCTGTTTAACATAATGTGTTGTGTGTGTTTTACTTGGGAAACATGCTGCTGTGTATTCCTTTGCTGTGCAGAGAAATACACAGCAGCATGTTACTGTTGGCAGGAGAGAGACCTGTGTTGTTTACACACAGATCTTTCCCCTGTCAGTGTTACTCGGCGATCGCTGGGTGCCAGTGGGGAATCTCCGACCGGAACCCGGTGATCGACATCTGTAGCCGCCAATGACAGCACACACGCCCCCTACCAGGAGATGCAAATCACGTATATTTATGTGATTTTGCGCAGCCCTGTCACCATGTAGCAGTATTTCTGCTATAGGACAGTGGGGACGTGGTTAATTTACATTTTTTTTTTACATATCTGTTTGATTAGTGCAAAAATACATATTGATCCTGACCTAAATTCAGTGTTATCCTGTGCACTCATACTTCTGCCCATGTTA